TTTTTTTTTTTTTTTTAAATTTTATTTTGATTTTTATTGAATCTTCTAAAAATCAACTTAGAACTAACAATAAATTTTCGCTGCTAATTGCTGTATTAAAATATTTGAGAAAAGAAAAGTAGATAATTAATTGTCCTTAGCCAAAGCTTCGTCCAATTTCGTTACCATGTCGGGCGTTATTCTTGAATAGCCGGGTTTATGTAGTTTTTTTTGAGTCGCTGTGTACCAGCGCTTTGGGTAAGGTTGCTTGCAAGTGGATTTTGATGGTTCCTGAGTTTGATTTTGTACTTTTGTGTGTTGCTGGTAATTACATCTGTGACTGTGTCAATTCGAAGATCTCTATGAATATTTGCGTTTTTTATATACCAGGGGGCACCGACTATTTGCTGGAGGATTTTTGATTGAGTTCTTTGAAGTTTTTCAATGTTTGATGGAGAAGCAGAGCTCCAGAGTTCAATTCCGTAGGTCCATATGGGTTTCATCATTGTGTTGTAAAGTTGCACTTTATAGGTGAGATTAAGTTTAGAATTTTTATTTATCAGCCAGTTTAGTTCTTGTTGTTTGAGTTTAATTTGGGTTACTTTGGTTTCTATATGCTTTTTCCACGTAAGCCTTCGGTCGAGGTGCATTCCTAAGTATTTGGTGTCATTGCATTGTGGTATTACTTTTCCATTAATACGAAGGGCAGGGCAGGTATCTCGTCGTAGAGTGAAGGTTATGTGTACACTTTTCGATTCGTTAACTTTTATTCTCCAGAGATCGAGCCATTTTTGCAGTTTGTTGAGGTGGTCTTGAACTGATTTTGTGGCTGTGAATGGGTCGTCACTATGGCTGAGAATGGCAGTGTCATCCGCAAATGTTGATGTTGTCGTACAGTCACTATTCAAAAACTGCACAAACACCCATTTCGTCAGTCGCAAGTCGAACCCATAAACTATTGAGTACGATTTGATTGATCATAAACCTTCTTTAAAACAGCGGGTCTTCAATCATTATTTATTGTTTTCGCCGAAATTGAATATTTTTAAGGGGTTCAACATACGAATTAGACGGGTTGAAGTTAAATCTTTATTTGGAAAAATGTAAGGAATTAGTTGGAGGTTATGTGGAAAAAGTAGCAACAAAAAGTTATAAAGATATTTTAAAGATGTTTTAAAAATACAATGCTTAAATGACAAAGTTTTATTTTAACTCCTTTTATTAAAATTATTGTTATTAAGAATTGATAAAAATAATTTAACATTTACATAATTCTTATAAGAAATGAACATTTTAAATAGCAAAACATTTTCATTTTCAAACATAAACCTTTTCCTTAATGCCTCACTTAAATATTTCTAATCTAAAAACAGCATTTATGCTCTTGTATTCATATCCACAAAGCACTTCAATTTCATATATTTCCCATGGTCTTGAAGCTACTGATTAAACTTATTTGAGTACAAGATTTTTATTGAAAAGGTAAAATCCGTATATTAAATATGCATTTATGATACTCTTAGGAATATTCAAAACTGTAAACAATGCGATGCAATCCGCATTATTCTTTATGTTAATGCAATGCATTTCGTGCGCCTCTTTTGGTTGGAGTAAACGTTGATTTTGCACAGATACTGCAGCAGAAAATTTGAACACTTTTTCGAATTCATCCATCCTTCTACCAAATTAACTTGAACCGGAAAACACAAGAGCACTCGAACAGCCTTTAAAACCATCGAACATCAACATCAGCAACAAGCATCCTTAGTAGGTAATCCCCGTGCTTAAGAAAGCATATTGCAACCTCCATAAAGTTTGTGTAAAATAGCAATCGTTATATTGTAGTAACTAAGACGACTATGATAGCAACCGAGGGAATATTCATATGGCATGCCACGATACTGTGCAACGAGTATATCCATTTTGCCACAACACCTTCACTAACTGCAACTATAAAGTGCCTTCCATATTCTTTTTTTTACAGCACTTTAAGCACATGGAGTTTAGAGCGGTAGACGAAACGAAAAAATCACACGTAAAAACGAAATAACCTGAATAGAAATACAACAAAAAAAGGAAATGTAGTAGCAAACCAAGTTCATCGTATACTAAACCAGGAAAAAAGAAATAGAAAGAACAATTTGTTTACACAATATAGAGCTTTTTACCAGACATTTTACATTTGAGGATTATGTTCAATTTACGACCATATCAGGATACCTGTTAGGCAGTGTACGGTGCCTTCGTTGCTTACTTGAAAGGATGTTGCTTCATATGGCAAAGTAGTGACTGTTATTTTACTCGGAAACTGCAGTAACGAAATGAAGGACTCTACTACTCGCACTTACCTACAATATGCTACGCTTGAGCCATCAAATCAATATTCAATTTTGGGTTGATGAATAGACATAACTAACTAGAAGAGATTTTTCCAATAAATCTCAAGCCTGTTGCATAAATATTCACATCTGAATAATTATTCATTTGCTGATCTATAATTAAACTTTTAATAGATGTAAGGTTGTGGTTCCTGACTTTACGTACACCCAATGAACATAATTGTCTTTAGAACCTGTTGGTCACAAAAATGAAAATTAATTTGTTCTTGATTAGGAATCATTGAGGTTTACAAATTGTGACAACTTTTTCATTTTAAGAAAATAAACTTTATTAATGTCTATATACTCGTACATCATTTAGAAGTATTGTATGAAGATAAAACATACGTTCTGATTGATGTTTATGTTTTGCTTCAAACCCTTAAAATTTTTAACAAGCTAATGAAGTTATACATTAAAAATGACATCTTCTTCTTCTTTATTCTGCTAACTTCCTGTGAAGCATAGGACCTCAACAATTCTTTTTGCCTCTGAAGCGTATTTTTTTTGAAGCTGTCGTGCAGATGTCATTCCATGAGTAGCGCGCTGATGTTAATTTGTCATCAATTGTCCTTCGCCATGTTCTTGAAGGAGCTCCAGGCCGGCGACTGCCTTGCGCCCTTGCGGGCTTGCTTAGCGATATAGGATTTCGATTTGCGTAGTGTATGTCCGATCCATTGCCATTTTCGTTTTTTGATTTCGCTGTCGACGCTTTATAAATTCGCTCTTTTCTACAATTCTGAGTTAGAGATACATTTTGGCCACCATATTTTAAAGATCCGTCTTAGACATTTGTATATGAAGACTTGGATTCATGAATTGATAGATTTAGTAAACTTCCATGTTTCGCACCCATACAGAAGTACGGACACGAAATTTGATTTAAATATACGAAGTTTTGTTCTGACGCTTAGTTGATTTGACCTCCAAATGTTTTGTAGTTAGCCAAATGCAGATTTCGCCCGATTTATACGAGCCGTTACGTCTTCTTCTGCTCAGCTTACGTTAGAAACTACGCTGCCCAAATATGTGCAGGATTGTACAACATTTATATTTATGTTCTCAACAGCTATCAAAGGATCTGTTACAGCGCAGTATCCACTGGACATGACAATAGTTTTAGACATGTTTATTTCCAAGCCTACTACCAAGTCCGGGCGTTTCGATTTAGGCTGTCTACGTTATGTTAGAGATCTCTGCTTCTGTGACTCAGCAGACACACATTGTCCGAATATTCAAGATCTTCTAGATGGAGAAAAGGTGTTTACTGTATACCATGGCGTCCATCAAGCAAATTTCTTAATATTTCGTCCAGAGCTCTAATGAAAAGCACCAGTAATGGACGCAGCCTTGACGAACTCCTCTACTCACGTCAAATGCATCAGACAGCACTCCGTCGCACATGGACTTGAGGATGTTAAGTATTTTTTGTGGTATGCCCTTTTGATGTAAAGCAACCCATATGAAACATCTGTTCAGACAATCAAAGGTTTTTTTAAAGTCTATAAATGCTGCATAAACAGAAGACCTAAATACGTTGCATCGTTCGAACACGATGCGAACAGTATTAATCAGGTCGACGCAAGATCGATTTCGCCTAAAACCAAATTGATTCTCACGGAGGAGTTCTTCTATTACCGTCGAGATTCGTGATAGTAACATCGAAGTGAGTATTTTGCTAGGCACGGGTAGTAGTGTGATACTTCGGCAGTTGTTACAATCGGATCCATCACCCTTTTTCGGAATCTTAACGAGCACACCTTCATTCCAAGAAAGTGGTACCGCTTCGTTTTCTCAGATTTTCTACAGAATAGGGGCCAAATAGATGCTGATAATTCTGGATCCCACTTTAATAGTTCGGGATTGACGTTGTAACTGCCTGGTGCCTTGTTGGCATACTGCATATAAATTACGCTACAAAATTCTCACCACTTCACACAAGCAAACATTCAATACTCAAATTTACTCATTTACATATCATAAAATTAGAAAAAATTATAGCTATCAGTACCAGAAATAACTAAAGCGATTATTGAAGCTAAATACAATAACAACTTCACAAATACCGCATTAAAAACCAGAAAGAATTACCTAACAGCACTAATAACATTGAAAAGAGCATGCAAAAGAACATAAGGGAATAAAACTGCTAGCTTAAAGCACTAAAGATATTAAAAAGAAAATATTGCCATTGCCAGCTAACAGCATCTCAAATGTCAACTAAAATAAAGTAAGTTGCTGTAGAACGGCTTCATTCATTCAAACATTTTTAATGTTAAAAAAATTAAGTATTAAGTATTCTTAACTACTTACAATATTTACTAAATCAAGATATTAATTCTATTTACAACTATTTGCTTTATTTATAGTACATATTTATTTTTTAATTGTATTTAAACTTATCTTTTGCTCAGAATCCAATTTACATAAAAATAAGTTTTAAATGACAGTTTTAGAAGTTTTACAAATAGAGTATAAATATTATATTTATTCTTAATTCATAGCATAATTCCACGTCCATAAAATCTCGAATCTTTAAGGTGTAAGGTGTACACTAAACAATTTTCTTCTTCAACTTCTTTTAAACTGTCCAATAGTAGACTACCTTACAGGATGTTTACTCTAATAACGACATGAGGAATCACCTGTTCAACTGTAAATTATTCCCGCAGAAATTTTGGGATTTAAATAGGAAAGACTTTTTTTATACTTTATTGTTTAAAATCTTCAAGACACCCGGTAGTTTCTACTCTTTGGTACTACGATTAAAAGGTTAGCATTATATTCTACGGATGACCTTTTATATCAATAATTTTGCAGTGTTCAGACATTTTAATCCTTTTAGTGATCAAACAGTAAGACAATCAAGAAAATCAAACACAAACTTTAAATTTCGATCATTTTAAGGACGTGTGCGAGTTAGGCTAAGTTGATGCTAAACCAAATGGGAGATTTTTTGGGATTTTTTGCGCTGCACACATTTAGCCATTTATCAACACGTATCGACAAAACACTACATTATCGGCACAAGTTAGAATTTCCCTTATATAGAACGCAACTTAGCCTAACTCGCACACGTCCTTAATCTTTATGAGTGCAGTTTGGATTACTTTTTCGCGATTTTTTTAGAAACATTTAACCTAACGGACATTAAACTACTACGATCTATTGTCTATTCAGAAACTTTAGTTAAAATCCAATCAATTCTTTATGGTTTTTACAATGAAATGTAACAACTTTAATTAAATTATTTAAACGTCAAATATTACAGTATAGGATATTCTCATTAAAGCTATTTATATCTATTACCTAAAAAGTGTTTAGACTATACATTCAAAATAGTCTCAGAAGAGCCTCAGACTCAGAGAAGTAAGCCCACTTTTTAAATGACCCACTACAACGGAACCAATTTGTTTTAAAATATTTACTTTATTCCTCCCAATACGTGTTACTAATGTATTCCGTTTTTTAAGAAAATCGTTATATGAATTAAATCATATTTTTAAATTACTTTAAAATATTGTAAGTGGAGCGCTTATAAAAGAAGACTTCTAAAGTTAATGCCTATAACCTAAAATTTAACACCGATAGTCAAGCATACAGATAACCCTGTAACAAGTACTAGGCTTGAAATTTATGTACCAAGTATTTTTCATTCTGAGACTCCAGTTAAATAATGAACTACCTTTCAGACAGACGTGTATGCAATTAACATAAAAACAAAATATAAAACATATATAATACATATATAATTAGTAAAAAAAAACTGCTAACCAGATTCGGATCAAAAAGCTTTTGTGAGATAGGTAAGAGTATAATTATCATCGATATAATTAGTAAAAAAAACTGCTAACCAGATTCGGATCAAAAAACTTTTGTGAGATAGGTAAGAGTATAATTATCATCGACGTAAGAAAGCAAAAAATGCTTTCTAAATGAAATACTAAGAACACTAATCAATCATAATTAATCATAAGATTTCTTTATCCCTAACCTAAAGCAATAGTAATAAAAACTAGTATATTGTTTCAATAAATTAATTTTTAATTTATATTAAAAAGACAATCTATACATATTATTTATATAACATTACACATATCATTGAAATGCGATTGTTTCACAAGTACTAACAATATCTTATACACATTTTTTCCAGTAGAGTTGGAAGAAATTCTATTGATGACTGCACACATGAATTCAATTTAATAGGACAAGTATACCACTAAAAGTGTTGTTAGCTCCGAACAAAAAAGAAAACTTGGTAATAATAAGATAAGATAATAAGATCAGGACTTATAATAGTAAATACTAGAAGTAAGTTATAACAACCACAAAACTTTTTCAGTCTACAATGCTCTAGACTAAGAAAGTATATATAATATGAGCTTATCAAAATTTACCTATCCTGTGAACTCAATTTTGAAATACTATTATAATATTTTTTAACTGAATATAATCAACTAGCTAGGAGTGAAGTTAAGTACTTAATTGTTTTAAGTTAGTTTTTTGTTATGTTAGGTACTTCTAGGATCTACATACGTTAAGGATCTACATCAGTTCAAAAATAATATATTTACCAAATTTATTTTTATAAAAATCAATATTAACATATATTTATATTAACTAATCATTTTTTACCATTACTCTAATTTTCATAAAATTAGTAGCATATATTCAACTGCAAAAATTCCATCTCTTAATCTTCTCTTTATTTAAAATTAATATGCAATAGCTCTTAATGTTTATATTATTAATAATGAATATATTTTATATATATTTAAAAGTGTTTTCATACATATATAATATACAAAACTTAACTACTAATATTCTGATTTTTCTAAAATAACATAGGTTTTTTACCTAACGTGCTTTTAGAGAAAATAATACAACAACACAATATACAATTAATAAAACTTAATTTAATAGCTAACGAAAATCAAAACAACCTACAGTAATACTATCTTAAAAATTATTTTAAACGAAAGTTTTATGAACTTTGAACTTATGATACAAATTCTTTCGTAGGATTTATAGATTTCTGTTTAGTTTGTTTAACTTTTTCAACGTATATATTTAATGTGGCATCAATGCCAGGATAGAACACGTAAGTTGTATTTCGTATTTTTTTATCTATAAGATATGAAGTTACAGAATCTGTATTAAAAGCAATATCCATAGCGTCATTAGAAGTCAGTTTGTCTAAATGACAACGCGGTATTTTCATAACGCAGTTTTCATAACCATTCACCTAAAAATAAAATCGTATTACTTTTATTAAAAATTTAAATATACAAAAATTGTACCTTTATTGTTAAATCCAGTTTATAATCCATGTCGATTTCTGGCCAACGTTGTGAAAGGACATCATTATCCCACTGTAATTCATCTGTGGTTGCATTTAAACGATTTGGCGTTGAAGCAAATTTAGACCACAATTCAGAAGCAAAATGTGGAGCCATTGGAGCGAGCATTATAATTTGGCTAGCTAATGCTCTTTCAAATTGTTTACCATAACGTACAATTTCTTTAGGAGCACGCTAAAAATTTAAATAACTTTTCAAAAACTTAGCTGATTACAAATAATTTTGAAATTACCCTTAAGGAATTTGTTAGACCTTGCATTTTAGATATTGCCACACTTAACTGATGAGCGTATCGATAATTGAATGTTGCACCCTTAATATAAAAATTTCTGGAATCGAACATTTTATCATCCTCCTCCAAAAATTTTTTATCATTTATATCTATTGTTTGATTATCTGGAGCGGTACGTTCTGCGTAAAACTCATTCACTGTTAACCATAAACGCTTTTGCCAATTTAAAATACCAGGAAAAGCTATAGTAGATATAAATATGCGTGCTTTAAAGAGATACAATACTTTAAATAACGAAACTCACTAGCATTTGACCAGTTTCTATGTGATGTAGGTGCGACATCAGCTAAAATTATCAGTCTTGTAGTATCCGTTCCGTATTCCCGAAACATATCTGTAGGATCAACGCCATTTAGTTTTGACTTTGACATTTTTTCCCAACTCATAACAACTGGCTCTTTTGTTTCTTTGAGAAGTGCCTGGTTTTTCTTTGCATTTACAACTTCTACCTAGAAGAATACAATTTTGCTATTAGCAGCCATTTACATCAAAAGTAATTGACTTTATAATAATATAAATTAAAACAAAAATACTAATTTACTTCATTTTCCGTGACATAACGTCCAGTGCCTTTTATTCTATATGATCGACCCATTACCATGCCCTGCACTAAAAGTCGTTTAAATGGTTCGGATGTTGGTACCATTCCTACGCTATGTAAGAAATGA